CAGCGGAAGCATAATATTGCGTTATTATTATTATTACGACCTACCGTGCACGCTGCTGGTGTTAACAATAGGTAATACACTTGGTCTGTACCTCTCCACATGCCCACCACCCTCGCTAACCACCCCCGCACAAACGCGCGGCTGCCTTAGACGGTAATTTTATGCAACAAGTTGCACAGTGTACGGCTGATACATCAAGTAGACAATTAAAAAAAAATATGTACCTACTTTTTTTGCGCGCGCATTTTTTTCTCACGGTCCTGCAAACGACACGGACCAAAACAATCAAACAGAAATAGGTTTTTTTTCTTGTGCTCAGCTAGAACAACAGTCGCTGCTGGCAACTGTTTTATACTGTTTTAACGAATTCCGTTTGGTTTTTTCGTTATTTTTTTTACCAAGCAGCGCGCTAGCCGTTAACCGGACAAAGGTTGCGCAACGTCTCCCCCACACGACAATAATTATATTCATCGGGGGTTTTTTTTTTTGTACTTAGGCTTTTGACAACCGTATTTCGCAATGCCTATAACATTATGTGTTGTGTTTATAGACGGCGTTCTTAGGCCGTGTATTACCAGCGTCGGCGGCGGCGGCGGCGGCAGCGGCGGTCAAAGGGTCATCAAACCAGTTTCGATCGTTCCTACAGTCTGATGTGATCCTCTGGGACGTTATATTATTATAGATGTATATATATATATATATATATGATTGTGGTCCACGCGGTGGCGGCGAAGGGTCCCCCGGGACTAGAGTCGGGGGCAACACAAGGGGGGGGGGAGGCCAGCAGGAATAACCCGATGCCGGGCAGTAAAAAAAAAAAAAAAACCGGATCCCGGTCGATCAGCATCCCTCGCGGCGGTATTATTATTATTCGTGTAACCGATGGGGGGACCGGGATCGATCCGCGATGATCGAAAACGGGATTCTGGATAACAAACGGGATATCCGATGTACGCGTCCGCGGTCCATCGTCGGCGGCGAGGTCATGTGAACGGCACGCCGAAAGGGTTCTCACCGCGGCCTTTGGTCAGCGGATCCCGCGAGTCCTGCCAAATGGACCGCGCATGTTGTTCACCTACTATTATAGTATTGTACGCGGTGTCCGAGTTTCGCAACCGTCGTTGTATAGATTTTGTTCTTTAGCAATATAATATATATATTTTGTAATAATAATACAAATATTATTATTATTATTTTATGCCGCCGACGACGTTGGGCAACCGCGTCCGGTCCGGTCCACCCTCCGTTACGGACACACGGGGGGGCAATTGCCCTGGCTGGCAATATTTTGGGAAAGGCAACTGACTTAACCCGCCATAGGTGCGAAAAATTAAAAAAAAGTATCTATATACATCAATACATGCCGATATGTCCTGATAATTATATGATTACCCTTATAAATATCATTATATCTTTATATCCTTAAATCCTTATATATCCTGCAACTTAAAGTATCTACATGAAGTGGATACTTTATTTTCAGAATGACCCCCAGCCATAAGACATATCCATGTCAAAAGTATTAATCATTTTTTTACTGTTACAAATCCTGCGAATTTAAGTGATTATATTATATCAATTTATAGCTACTTCAAATATTTAACCGTGTAAATATGTATTACTAATATTAATGAATAATTTGTCTTATATTAAAAATTATAGATGGATACGAAATTAAACGATAAAGGTTTGAAAAGTGTAGACGGACTATGAAAAATTATTTAAGGTCATCTTTATCCAATAAAAAAAAGTGATATCTCTTTCAATTTTAAATCATCAAGACGATTTACTCAAATCCATTTTACAAAAAACTGCCGTTATAAAATCAAAGAAAATGATCATTTAAAATATTAATTGAAAACACTACGGTTTTTTTTGTAAATTTAATTATTATATTATGTAGGTATTTCCAAAGGTAATCTATTATTATTTATAATAGCATAATATTAATAAACTTACAAGTGTAATTTGTGAATTAAGCCGGTAAATATTATTTGGTGTTTCATCGAATATGAGTGTTTAAGGTGCCTTAGATAACGCTTGTTATGGAAGTTTTCAATCTTTGACTTCTCAACAGTCGGCAAAATACGAATCGTACAGTTGCTACAATAAAAAAAAAATGATTTAAATAATTCACAAACCAAATTATTTAAATCATTTTTTTTTTTTTTTGCGGAAATTATCAAGCATATGTAATTTTTTTTATTCCATGTGTGTTTAGTCTTTTATTGGAGATTCGATTAATTTATGTCTCGATACGCTCAATTTAGGCCACATTTGACATTGGAATATTTATTCAGATAAAAATAATTTGGCTTCCATATGAAATGAAATGGGCGTTGTACACGAGAATCGTTTGTTGCAGCGAAAGGTGTAAAATGTTAAATTTAAATAAACCTATTTTCAAGGTAATAAATCACATTTTAAATAATAAGACATTAAATATGTTATATTGTATTCTTTCAAAGGTGGGAGGGGGGGGGAAATAACGTTACTAACTGTTGCATTTATAATTATATAATATGTATTATTAAATTAAGAAATGCCTTCAAAAATTGTATAATGACCAAACTAAGAATGAGTAAGAGAGGAAAACTATTATATCACTAAGTTAATCTCACCGTTAATCAAGTAATGAGGAACAAACTAAGTTACAGAAAATCATAGATATTTTTTTTTGGTTCTGTAGTGTCCCAAGTGTCTCCTTATACTTACACCGTCTGTCTTGTGTTATATTATAGTATATATTATACTAAACTAAACACGTTTCAAATAATAATCTAGATTACTCCGAGACCCGTTACACGCGTTTTAGAAGTCGATTATAATATAAAATATAACAATATGATGATGTATTTAGTTATTTCTTTTTGAAAATGGGCAAATCCACTAGACATGTTGCCGTTTGATTTTTGAAAAGTTCAAATAATAATATATTCACCTTGAGCAATTTTTCGATACCCACATGAAATTTGTATAACTCTGTTGGGCGTGCGTGGGTGTGGATCATCGTGTGAGGCCTTGTTCGTGGATGAATAATATATACCTATGATATATGCCTAAGCGCAGGTACCTATAATACACACACACACCTGTCTAGAAACTTTTACATGTATAGGCGCGGACGAATATAATAATATAAAAAGGCGATAGGGGTGAACGTTACAAAAGTTGTTTGCGCAGAAATAAATAGAACGCCTTCTCGTCTATAATATGCTAGGTGGACGTTAGCTTCAAAATATAATTTAATCGACCCATTAAAAACACATTGAATATAACGCGTTGGTTCGTTCATACCGCTTTGAAACGAGACGGTCGTTCGTTGACTCGGAAACGTCTCGTTTCAAGGAAACATTAATATCATATTTATCTCCGGCCACTGATGATGAAAAATATTTGCAAATTGTCTCAGATTTTCCGTGAATGTATTAAATCTCCGGAAAAAAAACTCAAATATTTGTTGTGGAATTCGGAATATTCGAAAATGATGAGTTGCCGCTAAATAAATATTAAAAGTACTTGCAAAAGTTATTTAATCAGCTTATAGGAATGCTATTCGAACATAATATTATATTGTTCTAATAATAATAATTTTACTGTTCGGTTCTGACCAGAGGGATTCCGTTGACAAGGATTTATATTAATGAAAATTATGAACGTTATTAAAAATATAAATGTTATTAAAAAGTTACATTGATAACATAAAAAAAAAAAAAAATGAATAACTCGCAGACGAGAACGTACAACGATGTGATTAAATTAAAATAACCAGCCTGGTGGCAAAAAAGTATTGGTGTTCGTCGAAAACTGGTATGGTTTTAGAAGAGAGCATCGTTTGATTTTTGTTGAAAGAAACATTTATATAGTTATTGAAATTGGAGAGACGTCTTTGTACTTCTAAGTAAAATTTGTATCAGTGTTCGGTTCCCATTTAACCACTGCGGTTTCTTTAATTTGCCTTAAAGAAACGAAACAAATAAACGTGGATCTGGAACCAATTTTTTTTTTTCAAGAAAAACTGGAATCGGGAATAATTCCTCTTCCTTAACAAGGAAATGAAACCAATTGCCACCTTAGAGATGCAAGGCTCTGGAACAAGTACATTTTTCAGTACAACGGAGTTTTGAAACGAGTTAATTTAGAAGAATTTATTGGGATTTAGAACAAGTGCTTTGTTTAGAGGAATTAATATGGCTGGAAACTTGTGCCTATTTCAGAGATATCAGTCCCTTTTCAAGAGGAACTGGGATCTGGAACGAGTCACTATTATCGTAAACTGGAAAAAGACCCTATTTTAGAGAGAAAAGGATCTGGTAAACGTTCCTCTTTCAGAGATACGAAGATCCGAGACGAGTCCCTTGTTTAAAAGAATCGGGATCTGGAACTACTGCCTGTTTTAGTGGAACGAGGATCTGGTAAAATTTCTGCTTTTAGAGGATCTGAAACGAGTTCCTTGTTTTTTGTAACTAAACTGGGAACCGAATGAGTTCTTTTTTGTTTTGCAAAAAGGAAACTTTTCCAAGATACTTTTCATTCTATACTGGATTTTCAATGACAATACTATTGTAGTCAGAGTAACGATGCCGAGGTCGACTCTACAGCTATGCAACGTGTATCATCACATGCTATACAGTTGCTGCGGCGGCCCCTCTGAGAAACCGTTCCAGTCGGGAATACTTAGGCGGGCGGACCCTCGGATGTGTCGGCCAAGGAAACCCGCTTCTGGTTGGACGGCGACGGGGCGACGAGCGGAACAGCCGAACCGGTTTCTTACACCTTGCAAGCAGCCCACAATGGAGGAGCTGCAGCACACAGCTCTCTGCTGCACAGCCATAGTAGCGATTTTATTCGTCGAGGGGGTTGAGGAAGGCGATCATTTTTATTATATAAATTTTTATTACTTTGCTATAGGGGGCGTTTTTTTATTTTTACCGAGCCTTCTTGATCCGGGACGACCGAGAGGATTTTTTCTCGGTCGATCATTCCAGTTTTCGAACCGGACCAGCAAACACGGCAGCGATCGAGACTAGACTATTATTTTTTTATTATTATTATTACCTACCACTCGTATAACTCGTTGTTGTAATAATAGGTTGTAACCAGTGTGTGTGTGTGTGTAATAAAATATAAATCCAGTGACGACATCAAACTCCTCGGTGCACCGTGTGAAACCACTAGCAATTCTGTTTTGTAGCAAAACTACATTTAATTACAATTTTATTATTTAGTTTTTTCAATTTTTTTGATTATTATTATTTAGTTTTTAAAATTGTTCGTTTTTACTCGATTAATTGTTGTATTGTGTGTTTTGTTCTAGTTCTAGGCCGGACAACGACGACGAACGATTGCCAAGTTGACAGTTTTGGCAAATTCATATCCGTGTCCTCTCTCGTTTTTTTATTTTAAATATAATTTCGTATAATCCACGCAGGCTTGTATATACATACATACATATATATAGTTCACACAGCATTTTCCAAATTTAATATTGATTTAGCACGCTGTCGAGATATAATAACAATATATCTCGAACACATATTTTGCGCACACACGTTTTCATAAGCATATCATCATCACCGCCGCCATATCGTCTTCAGAATTAACACACTCACAGAGATTGTCGTTTTTTAGCTTTATTATTTTTGTTTGTTATTTAAAGTTTTCCTTGTCTACATGCGGTCCGTCTTGTCGCCGGACCGTTTCGCGGACGTTAAAGTCTGCGCAATTTTTTCGAATATTTTATAATTTTTTTTTAAAATTTTTTTTCTATCTAGTACTTCTCTAGGTCCTTTGGTTCCTCCCGGGCGAACCATGAACGGACACGGGGACGACGAGACCGCCGAGTACCGCAGACACAGGACCTGGTACGACCAGTGGGTCCGGGAGGCTTACACGGCGCCGGGGTGCAGGGCCAAGACGGTGTGCGCGGCCAAGTACGAGAGGATCGTCCGGGCGGTCAGGGGCCAATTGCGGCGGGCGGCGGACTCTTCGAAATTCCGATTTTGGGTCAGGTCCAAGGGTTTCCGGATGGGAAGACCGGCGATGGAGTTGCACAGGAACGACGGTGTGGTGGACGCGGAAAGGCTGTACGTGGTGGACACGAGGAAGAGCGGCGGCGCCCACGGCAAGAACAAGAAAACCGGCAAACAAAAGGTAAGACTTGCACTTGTTTTAAGCACTATAGAACCCTGGTACCTAAGTTAATCATAAATTGAAAGGGCCTATCGGAATGTTAAAATAGGTTAAGTCGGGCAATTTAGTCAAGACACACCAAGTAGATAATTTTATATGTGTGGTAGATCTCCATGTCCCTCCTAAACCTAACTCCTAAGTTAAGCGGATAGAACACTATGTAAATTTAAGCATAAAATAGTCATTCAGCTCTGCGTCGCAGCTAAAACGTAACGCAAAGCATTATGGAAAATAGAAAAAATCAATTTAAAGCTTATTTTCCAAAAGCTGAAAAATATACATTTTTGAACCGGTCTGGCCCAAAACTTAGATTCAGACGTGGTTAGATTAGGATTCAGCTGTGTTAAATGGTTAGGTAAGGCTATAATAAACTGTCACTGATTGGTTTATATATTGTGTGGTTAGGTTATGATGGGTTTTTTAATTACTCGCGTTTAACCGGAAGCCTATTTAAATCGTTCTTGCCAAACAATTATAGCATTTATAACCGTTTAATAACTTTAAACAATTTACCAATGTGTTGAGCACAAAAATATATTTTATTTATTTTGATCTTTATGGTTGTAATGAACAAATATTATTTGTTTGACTTGACAATTAGACAGAGGCTGGGAGATTTTACAATATCGTTGTCCCTTCTAATAAATTATACGAGGGTGGATAAATAATGAGAAGTGCATTCAATTACAAATTTCATATTTTTGTTAATTACCGGTTATCGCAACAAATCCAAATAATGTGTTTCAAAATAGTATTACAGAATTTCTCTCCGTGGTAAACAATAATAATTATAATGCTACGGTAAAATACAATACAAGCAGTTTGACTTGAAACATTTAAAAATTGCCTAAAAATATTATGAAAGAATTATGCTTAGATTTTTGTTTTAAAATTTTCGTTAGTATAATATTTAATCAATTAGCAAATACTAATTATAATTTTTAATTTTCACCGTGTGGAAGGTAGATACGATGAAAAATTCAGGTCGTTTGTTTCCAAAATTGTCGATGATGTGTTTATTTTAGATACTGTATCAAATATTACAGTATTCAAATACTGCAAATCCCTGTCACTCTATGAAACGTCCCCCGTGTAGACCATCAGATTTTGCCTGTGTACAATTACCATGTAGTATTGTATACCAGATTTGTATGCGGTGCTGTGTAGTACTATTTGGTGGTCGTTAAGGCCATTGCCATTTCACAACACCGTCGATAATTATTATTTAATACTAATGGATGATTTCTACACAATCAATGTAATCATGATGAACCCGTGTATAGTACAAATCTGTATGGACTAAGACAAACACGGTGTGTGTGAGTGTACACGGATTCGCTTACGGGCCTAAGGCAGCTAGTAGCGGGAAATTGTAATAAAACCGAAGATGCAACAAGCTTCGCGGGTCTCGATTTGGTAATATATTTATTTGGATTTGGATAAAAATGGAAAAATTCTTCCTCTTGGCTTTAATTTCATTTCGGTCGTCTGCAACTTGTCTAATGAATCATGAATGTGTTATAATTATTTCTACCGGGGTTGGAATGGATTACAGTCTGTCTGTCTCTGGAACCGGCCAACCTTGAGCATTGCAAGGGGATGAGTGTAGGGTCCCTCGCCTAATAAGCCCACGGGTCGGTGCAGTATTGTTGTAATGAAAACGAGGGGCAGGGTGATACAGGGTGATCGATTTATCGTCGAGGACAACTTATTTTTTTATGAAATCACAGTTTTGTAGCCTTAGACAATATTAAAATTGTTATCGTTTTTATTTTGCTGAATTCCACAGCTGCGTTTAAGACTTTAGGAACTTAAACAGTAATGTTAATTAACTTTTTATAACCCTGTATACATATATATATATATATATATATATATATGTGGATAAGTTATATTATTAAACTTAACCTTACCTTATCTACACAATTATTACTATTGTGTAACGGTTGAAAACATTTTGAACAACATGAGGTATACATATGTGTTTATTTTCGAACAGTGTTTGCCGTGTGTTATTTAGATTATAATATTGTCTGTAATACCGCTGTTATTACTATACTACCACTGTTGTTGTTGCTGATAGAATGGGGTTTTCCCGGGAAAACCCACACAACGTGTAGATATGATATTGATATTATTCTGGTTAATCCTCACAAACAAAATTGTTGTTTAGTTGACGGCGCGACCGAGATACTTCTCAGAACGCTCTAGAACAGCTCAAAATGGGTACTCGACAGAGTCTATTAGATTAGAATACCAACAGCTTACAAGCGGTTATACACAGAATTTTCTCAATATTATCTCAACACCGCACCGGCGAAGGGTTGAAATTCGCAAACTCATACAACGTCTCGTACTCGAGACATCTCGAACGTCTCATACTCGTGTGTCTGCCGGTGAACTACTTAATCGAGTGCACGTTATCATTAGGGCTCAGAAGTTTATGCTTTAGACCAATCAAAATATTATGCATCCGTTTATGCGCTAAAAATAGCCTATATATATCTACTAGAAAAAACCCCAAATTTGCTCTTAAAAATATTTCTATTGTTTTTATTATATCGAGACTAATAGTTGTAACCACAAAGTCTAAATAAAAAAAGTTTTTTTAATAAAAAGAAATCTTTGAATACACAATATTTATTTGTTAGTAAATTATAAAAATGTAATTAACACTTCTTTAAAAAAAAACCCTCCAAAAAGGATAAATTATTCAAACCAAATAGTTGGTAACTTTTTTTAATTAATAATACTAATTTTTGTTATAGTTTAATACAATACTACTATAGATAACCACAATTAAAAAAATTAAAAATATGCTAAAAATATTAAAAATAAATTTTTGATTTGTAGATTCTTTAAAATGTTATTCAAAATGTATAGTTTAAGTAGCTATTTTTCGGATCATTTAGTAAAAACATGCAAATGCATGGACTTGCTGAATGAAATTTTAAAATTCGATAGTGCTTGGAAAAGTACTTAGAGATTTTTTAGTTTTATAATTTCGTATAAAAATATAATATTTAAAAATAGAAACAAAAAGAAATACAATTATTTTGAAATCAATTTCACGCGTTGGACCAAATTGATCACCCTGTACACAAAAACCAGATTGCTGGCTTACTGTTCAACGCTATTGTGCATACGATTGAAGCAATCAACACTGGGGTTAACAGGGAATAGAATGCTAGTAGTAATCTGAGAAGAATTAATTGAAAAAAATAAAATAAAAACTGGTTGGCGACCAGACGGTATAGCAACGCTTTCAACACAAACGACTATTGCCGAAATCCACAAGAGGGTTAACAATTATCAGTAACTCTGTAAGACGATCATTTGTCTTGGACGTATTTCGCTTTTTGTATTATATTAGTTTACTTGCATGCCATTTGTTAGGTTAGGCGATGATAACGCCTTCATTCATATACTCGATAAATCATAGAAAACACAATAAATATCACAGAAAAAAACAATAACTGTACACAAAATAGCAACCGGGGATATATTTTTCATAAGCAGCCGACTATGGGCGGCAATACGCGTTCCACATATTGAGTTCAGTGCCTGACCAAGGCATGCAGATTTGCAAATGACTATGAGATTTTAAAGAATCATTGGATCGTTCAAATGAAATGTGTCTGGGTCTGAAACACTGTGGTGGTTGGGGGTGGCTGTGGTTTGACTGGAATTTATAAGATTGACCGTTATGATAAAATTAGCTTAATATGCTGTATTTTTTTGTCTTTAGCAGCATGTACACGACGACGCAGACCTGGACTTGTTGGACTCAGACTCGGCCGAAGACGACATGGTCGTGCCGGCGGCGAACACTTCGGCGGTTGTCTACAAAAAGGTGGCTGTGGTCGAAGAATTCTTTGACATCATATACAGGGTGCACGTGAACAGAAACGGCGACGGTCAACGACGGCATTCGGGCCAGAAGCGCACACATCGCGCGGTAAGCTTGTCATTTGTACATGTCACCCCTTTTCACACTCATCCTCCCCCCACAGCGTTTTTTTTTCTCCGCTTCCTTTCTCATTAACTAATACCCTTCTATCGATAAATTAACGTTTATCGTCTTATCTTTTTTATCGATTAATCATACCATTGTCTTAGCTAATGCTTTCACACGTCGAGTAATCATTTCTTGTCATAAGCAATACCTTAACTCACGAACCGCGCTTTCCTTGTCCCTAGCCAATATTGTATTATCAATCCGTCAGACTGTGATGGGATTAGGGTGGACGACAAAGAGTGGATTCTCACAGGATAGCAACGGAATCATATTCACTTTCACGTTCTCAGGTATTCGCCATGAGTCGATTATTGCATTGATTCATGGTCACACTAGCACACGGAGAAGACAAAAGTGAATATGATACAATGGCACAATTACTGCGTTGAAATCATAGCTGATCCTTTCATATCAATGAATCAACTTATTAATATTTGTGTGCATCATATATAATAGGGATTCCCATCAACTACTTTACTACTTCTTGTAATTAAACTACCCTTGACAAGTATTTCAAGAGACTCATTACAAAACACTTTCTTTGACGACAAACCATTGATCATCATTTATCATTGAGACTCCTCCCTTATCGCATCTAACCGTCTCTTATCAAGTTCAACTGAATTGATAGCTTTTTGCCAGACTACAATGATGCAATTGGTTTGCCCGTCAGATTATGGAAACGTACGCGTTCCTGCCCAGAGAGGCGGTCACCAAGTTCCTCATGGGTTGCCGGCAGTGTGGCACCAGCTGCGCTCAACCTCAATTGCCAACTCATCCAACTCCGCCGGATCAACTGCAACAACGGCTGCTGCTGGTGTCGCCCCAGACCACCGTACCGTCGCAACGACAGTCGGCCGAATGGTCGTACGACCCGTCGAGTTTCACTTGTTCCACTCCGGTCAAACGTGACGCGGACGTGGACAAGGAGAACCTTGACAACTGCAACGTCGCCGTGACCACCGGTGCCGCCACTAACAAGCACAAACGCAAAAGCACCGCGCCCACCAAAAGGACCCCGACCGACTCTAGCAAGAGCAGCGCCGGCGACAGCTGCACCCAGCAATCGTCGGCCACCGACCGCAGTGGGGGCTCCAGTAGACTCAGCGGGTTGACCGACGTGAGCAGCATCATCGCGGCCACGGCCGCGGCCGGCTCGCAGCCTTTGGACCTGTCCAACCACCACCAGCGTTCCCAATCGGAGACGGAGGCGGCTCCGTCGGGCGGGGAAGGCGGCCTGGAGGGCTGGAGGGTGAACTTTTTCCGTCCCAGGCGGGTCAGGCGCAAGCGGGTGTTGTTGAAGAGGTTGCGGAGGAGGTGTGCGTCGAGGAGGCGAACGGACGGGAGCCGAGATTCGAGTAGTACGGACAGTGAGCACGAGGAGGGGGAGATGGAAGTGGAGGTGGAGGAATGCCTGGGAGAACCGCCCGAAAAGAAAATTAAATCCGGAGAGTTAACGGACAAGCAGCTACGGACGGAGACCAACTCTTTGAACAACAACTATTACGATTACTGCGAGTGGTACGGCGGTGGTGGTCGGGGCGGCGGCGGCGCGGCGGCGGACGACGGGCGACGGCGGGACGGACGACGGCGGCGGAGGAAGCGGCGGCGGCGTCGAGGACGGAGGGAGAAGCAGACGAAGAGGAGGAGGAAGCGGAGGAGGAGGAGGAGGAGACGCAAAACGGATTGCAACGGCGACCCGGCGCGATGGTGAGTACGGTTATTCGTAGTAGTTATTTGGTACAACAACAACTCGGGCCTGGAATGGGTCGATTTTGACCCAAAAAATGGGTTCATACAAAACAAAGACATTGGATAAGGAACTTGTCTTATGCATGATGCATGTCTCTTGTCAGTTTCAAACGCATTAAAAAATAAATAGGTTAAGTAATAATGATAAAAAAAAAAAAAATTATATTTTATATTGTTCATATTGAGTATAGTTAAGTGTTTCGCTGCATACTCATTTACAAATTGTATCACAGTAATCACCAATGACCGTTCCCTGCAGTTCTCAACAAAAACGTTCAAGTACGATTTCGTCGACAGCATTTTAGTATTGTTAAACTTTACTTAGTTCCATTAACACTATGCTAAACTGGTGAAAAAGAGACCAAAAAGGGTTTAAGTGATTCCGAGAAAAAGTAGTAGGCGGAGCTGAAAAAGTATCGGTTCAACAATAAAGTGATTTTTCTTTTTTGCGTCCATATCTATTGTTGTAATATTTTCACTAGGTAATGAACGATATCGAAAACGTTCACTACTTCGCCCCCTTTAAGATAGGGATTCACACCGCTGACTCGCAATAAATCATCCCCCCAATACTTACAAGTACTTACACATAGAATATTGAAGAAAAAATAGAATCATTTTTACAGTTTTTTTTTTTTTTTACTGCGAAAAAACTGTTTTTTGCAATTTATTGAAGCCTTAACATTAATAACAAGCTATAACATATCAAAAATCATATTTTTTTGAACACCAATTTAGAGTGTTTGTAAAAGTATTTTTGTACAGCTCTACTTGGTTGTCCAAACAGACTGTACTCGGTTAGGGCTGTGCTTGGTTAGGATGTACTCGGTTTGAACTGTACTCGGTTAAGACTGCGCTGGTTTTCGTGGTGCTCGGTATTTTTTTTTTGGAATTCCCATTATATTTTTGACACTGGCATTCCGCCGGCAGCGTAATGCGTTCACATTGGACGTTTGCTTCGACTATAAAAGTGATTGCGTTCCGAGAAACGCCGTTTCGAGGAACACGCGTTGACCTTTATCACTATACTCCGTTCCTCAACGTATTCATGAATAGGCTCGGTAACGATGAACGCCGTGCCGGATCCCGGATGGTTTCGTCACGGCCGTACTACATATAAGATGTGTATATATATATATATATACATATACATTTATTATATATATATATATATATAATAAATGCGTATAAAGGCACGAGAGCGTGGTGCGAAAAGGCACATCAGACGGAGCCGAGAAATTAGGAGAAGGCAAACTTTTACCGCCCCTCCAACACCGCCACTGTCATGATCATCTGTAACTCTGCCCTCCCCTCCTCTTTTCACACCCCGCGACCCCCCCCCGTGCCGTACGCTTGCAGCCGCATCGTAGTACTTTACCTACTCGCCCTCCTTCCCCGTCACCCCGGGCCACCCCGGGCCGCCGCCGCCGTGTGAGCGGCTTTCCCATTTATCCTGTATATCCCTCTCGGCCCTCTCTGGCGTCATCGTCCTGTCATCATCCCACCTCACCCCCGCCCACCCACACACACACACACACTCTTTGTGCTCGCCGCACCAGTCGCCTACCCTCTCGTTACACACGCCGCGCCGTCGCCCGCCCCTCGCCGCTCTAATGCGCTCGCTGACGTCCCGTTATGTTTGTAACCCACCCACCCCCCTGGCCACCCGCCCGCCGAAATTATTCGGCTGCGGCCAGGCCGGAATGCCGCCGTTGTGTTTTCGGTCAGGCCCATCCCCGACCGTGCCGCTTCGTCTTCGTCATCGCGCGCGCGAGTCCACCGCACACAATATAATCCGGCACGGATACGCGCCGCCGAGGGGACCTACCCCCACTGCCCCTCGACCACCCCGCGCGCCCGACTTATCTGTACTCACCCCCTGCCCGTAAACGTACTCGTTTTTCCTACCCTCTAATGCCCTTCCGGCGCGGGGAATTCCAAAGCGGGCCACGCGTGGTCCACGGGATTCGTTTCGGCCGCATAGTTATTGCGCCGGGGAACGACAACAACAACAACAACAACAACAATAGTAATTATAATGAATAAAACTCAAAATTTGAAACGTTTTACTTAGACATAGGGTGTTATGTCTTATGGCTGGTAGTCATTCTGAAAATAAAGTTAAGAGTATCCACACTTCATGTAGATGCATGAAGTTGCTGGGTATATAAGGATGTAAAGATATATAAGGACATAAGGATATATTAGGATATCAGGATAGTCAAAAGAATTTAGTTATTATGGAGGAATATGGAGGAATTATGGAGGGATTGTGGAGGAGTATTAAGGAGGATTCTAGAAGTGAATTAATAGAGACAGTGGATGAGAGATAAGATATTGGAAATACTAGATTGCAGGACATATCCGTTGTATTGATGTATCTGCACGAAGACGTGCGGATACTCTTAATTTTTTCCTACAAAATTACACACAAAATTTGTTAGTCCAAAAATTTGAAATCCCTTTTGGCGAATGGAAAAACACAAATTTCAATATTTATTTGTACACTTCGTTCGTCGAGCAAAACGCTTAGATCCGAAGGCAATACAGTTGTGATTTAGGTCAACGCCTGAACGATATGGCCATTTCTTTAGACCCCAAAGCGTACACTTGAGGTATTTTAACAGGGCAACATCGAAAAGAATCATCCCTTTCCTTTTGAAAATCGAAAAATAGTTTTCCAAGCATAAGCCACACCGGGAAAAAAAGATATCAACCATTTTTTTTTGGATGAGTTGAACCTTTTTCTTTGTATTGATTTTTTTTTTTTTGGGAGGTATTTTTTGTCACGCTTTATATATTTTGAAGAAAATGTGTTCCTATTTTTTGTTAATTATAGCAGTGCACGTTTTGTCGAGATTAAATTGTGTCTTTGTGAGTAAATTTGATGGAAAAAAATAATTTCTGTTACATTATGAATATATAACAATTTTCGAACATTTTATACAACTTTACTGTGAGGAATATGACGAAAAATCACAATATCAGCTACACCGTGTATTGTTTTTATGGATATAATTTTATTTTCGTGGTCGTTGTTAGCTTTAGACTTGATGGGTGATACATAGGGCGGGGTCCCACCGTCGATGGACCTGTCGAGGGTTTAGTTTCTGCCCACTAGGTGTGGTATGTGAGTGCCCTTTTAGTAGCCCAGTTAATTAGCAGACTTGTCCTCTCGTTAGCACGGTCGGAGTACCCCAACCGTTCCATTTGTTGACGTTATAATTTTTTTTTATTTTTTGGTGGGCGTAAAGCCGCCTCCGCGCAGCTTTCCAAAGTCCTATTTTCCTGGTCGAAAAATGATTTCCACAAAAGTTAAAAGTGCTTTGCTGCACAAAATCAACGAATGATAGATTCTAAAAAACAAAACCCCTGAACAAGCATGTTGCTGGCATGTTTGGCATGTCTCGAAAAATATTACTATTTAATTAATGAAATAATATAAATTAGCCAAATGACTGAAATGATCTTAAAAAATTAATTGAAATATGTATTTCTAAAATGTTTCCATAATATTTTGTAAATAAAATTGAATTTCTTTCCGAAACAACGTCGATAAAGTATTTTTTAACACATTAAAAACACGTTTGACAGAATTTTGTATTTTTTTTTTCGCTGTCTAAACTTGTGAACAATGTAATTTGTTTTTTTCTGTGTACAAAACATATTGTCAACGTTAAAATACAATACACGAACGAAGGGTACAAGGAAAGCCTAACGGATGAGTAGTATTTTTTGATTTTTTATAAAATCAAAACATATTTAAAAATGCAGTACGTCAAAACGAACCCAACCGAATAAGGCGACATTCTATACAAATCGGTATGACGTATCTGATATCGAGTTTTTTCCAAAAAAAAAAATGCTTTAGAAAAACATGTTTTGTAATCGATAATATAACGTGTGCATTTTTTATCATTTTTATAATTTTTTTTTTTTTTTGTATTCGACGAAGAGCCCCGAACACGTTATAACGATATTAAGATATTATTGTTATTTTGCCGTATCAACAATCGCGTATCGCGTGTGCCGGATGGGTAAACTCGAAAGGCACGTACTACTTAGAAAATAATATATATGTATATATATATATACATATCGATTGTCGGGCCCGGCATAATTTATACCATTATTATTTAAATAAACGCGTGTACCGCACAACAGGTGGCTCGATCCAACGCCACCCTCGTTATCCCATTATGTTTATTACCACTGCACAGACTATTACTGTTACTACTCCGGTTAGAGGTTGTGCGTACACGCCAAGCTCTTTTGCACACGTATGTTGCACACGTATTGTGTATACACGACGTTATTGCTCGAATTTGGCCGCCCCTTAAGCCCCCCCCCCTCCCCGTCTCTCTCCTTTCGGGCTCGTAATTATTTAAGTGGAAAAACCCGGCGTTTTCGGTTCAGTAGATTCTCCTGTGTACTCAAAGTTAAGACAAACAACATATTTTTAAAAACACCTGTACTCAAAACGATCATAAACATATATTTTTCGACGACTAAAATATTATTTATATTAAATACTTTTCATCGCCGTCAACGGTTATTCGTCGATTTTATCACTTTCTACATTTATAATGATACTTTATATTATGAATAATATTTATGTCACGTTTTATCAGCCTAAGAACGTGTTGAATTATAGAAAATTAGGTGCACATATTTTATTTTAAAACCATTCACTGCCACCGTCGCGTCCGTCGACTCGTTTGTCCTCTTAGTCCGTAACTGACCTGAATCTTTTTTCTAGCCATTTACAATCGAATCGAAAGTTCGGATGACATCTACGTAGGTGCAAAGATTTTACAAATTCACATCTCGTACGACGTTTTCGTTTTTCTAGAAAATATCATCATAACCGAATGGCTGTTCTTAAACCGAGTGGTGGTTGCGTTGACCCGATAGTGAGGGTTTTTCGGACGTCGGTTTCGCCGCAACCCTTATCCCTG